TAATTCTTCACTAGGACTGTTTTTAGTTTTCGTAAATGACTTGCTTTCGGTGAGATATATACTGTTTAATTGGACGAGGTAATGTTACTGTATAATCAACACACACGAGTGATGAACTGTATTCATGTATAACTACCGTCACAACACAAGCATATATCGCTGAATGTTTTAAATTAAAAATTTGGATGTAGTTGTGTGCTGTCGATGTTTCAATCGTCAATCGCCATAACATTTGTCTCTAGTTCGAACTTCTTGCACTACTCATAATATCGTAAACAGCCTAACAATTGTGGTTACAGCTTTAAAATCACCATCAATGCAGTGTAAGGCTGTGCTCCAAAAATGGTCAAAAATGGGCTGAACCTGTTGAATGTCTTTCGGAGTTTGTGAGTGGCGGATGGTACCGGTAGAGCAGGATATGCTTACCCTTTTCACGAATACCTGGTGTCATCGCTGTGCTCTTTCGTGTGGATTTCGCCACTGTCTTGTCATTTGCGCCTGGTGGAGTCATTTTGGGCAGAAAATCGAGAGTGATTATTCTCTGGCGTTGACGTTTTTAGTAAGTCAGTGCGTTATGTTGACATCAGTGAAATGCACAAACTGAAAAAGAAGAAACAGAATTGAAAGAAACCCTTCCTGCAGTTCCTGAAACGTCCACAGTTCCATGAAAGTCCGAGAAAAGAGAGATATATGGCAGGGTTCAGCAACTATACCCCGAAATCCCATATCTCAGTGAGTAACAGAGTAAATCAGCCCCCAAAGGACTTTCTCTGTATTCACAGAAAGTATTTGAGACAAGTGGAATTAATACTATGTGGATTCTCAAAGGATTTGCTAGAATCTTTGCGATCTCAGAAAAGAACCAAGTTCAATTCTGTTAAACCATTTTCGATTACACCTTTATTCCACACGTTAACCTAAGGATTAACTACATTCCTTGACTCATGGGCATTTGCCACTGGAAGTAGTAAACATAGGTATAGTTACATCCCTATCAGGTTCAGGGCGAGTTTAAAAACAAAATGAAAGCAAATGTCATCTGAAATGTACTGGGAATACAATCTGTTACATGCTCCAAGGCCACCAGGTGCGCTCCTCCTCTTCCTGGTCTGTTTCTTGATGCATATGAATCGGAATTTCTACTCGGGGTGGCAAAAGGAAAACACGGGATGTTTCTGTACTATACAATACGTCAACAATGTCTACTGTCCCCTCGTCGAAATTACCGTTTTTGTCTCTCTATGTACTCATGTGATGTCGTGTATTATTGACATAGGAAGTCTAGTATAGATTATGTAAACAAAGGGATGACTTCAACTTTCCAATAGTCAACTTTCCCATTTGGGACCGATCATTGATATTCTGGGTGGTGTCTCCATTTCACAACGACAATCGAGTATGCTCCTTCTACGATGATTTCAAAGAGCGTAATACGACTCTTTCCCAACAGTTGTTTTGTCAGAATTACAGCATTTATTTTCTGAGCAAAGCTTTCATAAAGTGTTATGGTAGATATGTGGAGTACAAATTTGAACAAAAATATGTCCGATCCAATTCAACGTTTCGCAAACATCTGGTATTTTCACTATTTGATAGTAATTCCATTGAAAGAGTTATTTCGGTTATAATTAATCATATTAAAGGTGGGGAAAAATTCATACGACATTCCAGCATAAAAGCACAGTTTGAGTCAAATAACTGAGACCATTTTAGTCTTTTGAATACTGTATTGTATGTCACAACTACTGCTCATAGGCGTAGTTTTGTGTTGGCGGTCTTTGATACACGTATGTTCATACACACCTCCATGTAGTCAGTGTGGGTCAGTACAGTGCAGACCCGTGAAAATCTGGGTTAGAATAGATCTTCGGCAACTCATGCTTGTCGTAAGAGACGACTAACTGGATCGGGTGGTCAGGCTCGCTGACTTGCGTAGATCGATGCTCGTTATGTCAATCATTGGATTGTTTTGTCCATACTCGATCATGTAGCTGGAATATTTCACAACCACAAACAAACTGTCCAGTGCAAGTGCAACCACTAAGCGTATTATCCACCTCCCCTTAGCCTTCGTCGGGGCGGGGCCGAATGGATCCTCCGGTCTGTGTCGTCCCTCTTGAATGGCCGCCGACAGGAGCCTGGGCTCCTGTATTTCCTCCGGTCCTGTCTCTGTGATGTCATTCTGGTTGTTGATGCCGTCGGGGTTTCGAGCTGTCAGGGATTTGAAACGCAAAAGACGGAAAACTGAATCATATTTAACGAAAACTTACAAACTGAGGTTTGGGACTCGAGGCAATCGAGGGACTTGCATATTAAAGATAAAGATTCTTCCTCTAAATGAATTTCGACCAGGACGATAAAACATTTTACTTTTGTCACCCTCCCTGTAACAATAATAGGTATTCAGCAACCATGCTTGCCGTAAAGGCGACTATGCTTGTCGTAAGAAGCGACTAACGGGATCGGGTGGTCAGGCTCGCTGACGTGGTTGGTGAATGTCATCGATCCAAATTACGTGGATCGATGTTCATGATGTCAGTCACTGGATTGTCTGGTCGAGACTCGATTATTTACAGACCGCTGGCTTGAATATTGCTGGGTGCGGCGTTAAACAACAAAGAAAGAAAGTAGGTTAGCACTGTGAAACCGCCACTAGTACACACGCACGCACGCATTGTGTCCATACAGTCGTGTCCCTTAGAGCTTTCCTCCAACATCAAGCTGACACGTCCTCATTTGAACTAAAACACTGTTGAAAGTGTCACAAATCAACTCACATTTTTTTCGGTTAACTTTCCCTAATGGCAATTTGTTTGACCAATATATTATCATTCATTGTTGCTGAACAATTCCTTAAGATGATTGTATTACATATAAGGTGAAAATAAGGTTATGAATAAATCTGTTTGTTATGTTAGTTTGGGTTTTTTTAACTCTGAAGACATATGATGTAAAATATTCAAATTGAATGTAGAATAGTGAGTTAATGATTATAAAGGTCAGAATTTCTATAAATATAAAATATAACATCCCACGCACACTAGGAAAACTGATTCAAAGGAAACAAGTTAACGTGACTAGTTTTAAATAGAATCATTACATATGGTTACGTTTAATTTTCACTGGAATATTTCGAAGCGTGGGTGAAGAACTATTCATCATTGGGAATTGCCCCACCTTCGTCTGTTTGGTAGAAATTTAGACCAGGTTAATTGGATAACTGTGTTTAGGTCTACGTTCGCCTTTTTTCGAGGCAATAATGACGCGGCGGAAGACTTTTCAGTGATAATAAGATTATTACACACACGAAGTTCTCATGTCGTTTCTGCTGTGTCAACAACAAATTTATTCTCGCCAGCACAGTATTTGTAATTTGGACATTCGATGGAATTGCACTTTCACTTTGGCCGAAGAGTGTTAACTTTGACATTTTGCAACTTCTGAGACGGTTTGATACAAGAAGTAATGAGGTAATGACTTTGCTCTACTGTTGACAATTTTCACCGGAACTTCTAGCATCCATCGTCAGTTAAAAATTGACATGTGAAAACAAAAACTTATACTTTTTTACATTTTGATAATGATTCGTTTTGTATGTTCGCATTTGGGCGAATATTGCTTTAAGTTGGATCATCAATGCTGTTGCAAATTGTAATTAGCCGAAGGTTTATTAATACATTCTCATGCACACATACGTGAATGGCCGTTTAAAATCGATATGATATCAAAGCTTAACAGATTCAAACGATAAACATAAAAATGGGTTCGACTTAGAGTTTGAGTCCTGTCAGCATAAAATTGTATCACAACCCACCCACCCCCCTATATATATATATATATATATATCACACACAACACACGTTTCTACCACTGTCTGCTACGGCGGATTTCTTGGAGTAGGAATGTTTTTAGGCGGGAGATCGAGTTAATCGCGGGTATAAGAAATCCCCCCAAATTGTTTTCAAACATCCATATTTTGCATTGCAAGAACTAAAATAACTAAAACGTTCCAGTATGAACTCTTATAGTGGAGGAACTGTGCCTAGGAACTGACGTTTGTGGATGCAAGCAACAGATGTTGTACACAGGTAAAAAATGATCGAAAATAGAAAAAGGAAATATTAAACTCGTAGAAGCCAGATCCTTTGCCGAATACATTGTGTTCACGTGGCCGTTGGCTTCAGCTATGTACATCAACTTTGCAGTTAGCAGACCAAAGAATTAACACTGATGTAGACATGAGGGTGAAGAAGGGTGAGTTTTGTGTTGCCTTCATAATAGCGTTAGACATAACTGGGCGAGTGCTTGCAGTCGGCACGTGTTCACCATCTGTGTTAACACTGCGAAGTGCAATATGCGTGCACAAGGAATGGTTAGGTTTACATGAACGTTCAGTGTTTCCATTGTAGTAAGTATTTGTTAAAATTGTCCGCCCATAGTAATCAAACAGAATAATCGGACTATATCTTGTCGGCTTCTAAACCAGTGACGGGCAGCATGGGCTTGTAGTCAGCTCTTGCTTAAAATATTAGAGACAGCAAAGCAACACAGGTATACACTTATGTTGTTCATGACCAACGATGTTAACAGACACAAATAAATGCACTCGCATTGTGTATTGGTTGGATGAGGTGTACTCTCCACCATGTCATTAATAGTTGTAGTGAACTGGCACTTTAAAAGGTGGTGACCCACTATATGTATCTGCATTTTGCATTTTATGTTAAGAAGAACCATAAGTACGGATATTGATATCATCATATGTGACAATGAGAAATATAAGAAACGTTATTCCCCAAAATTACTGGACAGATTACACGCACGCAACGACTGATCGATCTCCATGTCGTTTGAACAATATTGCAGATTTGTCAACCATGGAATTGATATCTAAAATAAGACCGTCGTAATTGAACATGTTGTTTGTCTCACAAGAACTCGTGTAGATTGAAAACGCCTCAGTGGTCAAAGACATTTAGACAAAAATAACAAAGCTCGTATACTTAAGGATGTTTTATATAAGGCATACCCCCACGCATTTAGCATCCAGTACAGTTGATTAAACAAAAACAAAAAAATGACAAAATAAGTATGTACATACATGTCATTAGAACCTTTTAGTTGGCGTGGACAAGACCATGTTAAGACTGGATTGTTGAGGTATGGTGTCGTATACAGACTGGCACAAGGCATGTTGTACGTGTTTTACTTAGAACTAAATCAATCTGCAGACTAGTCAACTGCCGCCACTTAAAAGCAGATAGTTTATTTTATTCTGTTACTTGCATCAAAAATAATAGCAGTACTCCAAAGATCGAAAAGATCGCATATTTAATTGTTTATCAATTGATTGTCATTAATTAAATATTTTGTAAGTAATGTATGTTAAATGTTCGTTTTAGTCCGTATCAATTTATTTTTCTTTATTATATTTATTTGTGAGTTTCCCGTAAACAAATAGTTAGTGAAAAACAATATGTGACACTGCTTCCAAATGTATCTAAAACAAAAACAGATGACAATCCTTGAGTTCTTGCTCTTCCTTTCACTATAGCCTATACTGTACCACCCCAAGTCATATTCAATTTTTAAAAGAAGTACCACTGCATGTACTGGATTGAATTATATATCGAAAACATCTCTCCTAAAGCTCAAATGAAGGAAACAGATATCAACTCTGCTTTTTTCATTGGCATTCTGCCATTTGATTATACATTTTAAAAATGCCTGTAGCTAATCAGAAACTATTTTCTTATTGTCGCCTGGATGAAACATGGATTATTTGTTGTGACCAAATGGAACATTTCCAATTATCCATCCTCTGGACGGAACTTCCTCAGTTGTAAGGGATGTGTTGGAATAAACAGATGTTGGCAAAATCCCAAGAAAGCGTTTGTATAAAACCCGCGTTCTAACGGCGGCATGTTGAATAGTGTTTGCTGAGGGACACCAAAGGCAATTATTACTTTCCTTACAAAGACAAATCTATCACTTCAAAAACAACTGTCTTCTTAAGTTTTGTAAGTTACCACATACAATTCACAGCGGTAGACGAAAATTAATTATACTTTATAAAAAAACCCGTCTTGTTATCATAACTGAGGGATTGTGAACCACTCACCATTACTAACTAAATATAGCCCGAATATAAGCATTCTCGATAGTGTATGTTCATCGAAATAATGCTTCCGATACCAAAGACAACACTGCTGCTTTGGCAGAGTAAATGACAAGATGTGTGTTTTCTTTTTCATTCATGTAGATGCTACCAATTTTGAAAGGAATATGTATATTAATGTATGTTTGATTTATACACAAGTGTCCATTGTTAGTTGTGTCACTATATAATTTACATATATAACGCAAGAACAAAACAACCAAAGTGACATATAATGAAGCAGACAGCTAGTGTACAAGTTATATATATACTATTCTGTACATATTGGTCGATACAACCTCGTCCTTCAATAGGATCGTATTCATATATCAATTCAAAAGCATCGCCTGTGTCAGGTACAATTTATATTCTAACAGATCACATGAAAGCTCAAAGGATGCAGTCATATTCATGTCATTACGAAACTGTCATTCAAACGCATTGTTGACTTCAGACCTTGGACATCTGGTCAATTCTCAGGCCATCAACCTTCCCGGAAGCAGAAGCCATGGTGTACTGCAGTTTGAACACCTCTTTTCGTCTGCTCACGAATTGTCTCGTCTATGAGATTAGGTGAGAAGCAGACAAAGATTCTGACTGCGAGTCAGTGTGAAAAAACCATCGTTACCTCTGTGGTGGAGACCTCAGCCGAAGAAAGGTATAATTCTGTTGTCTACTGGTTCATTTCTGGCATAAGGTAAATATTTGAAGGTTGGACACACACGATATCGCTGACCGTACGGAGCCATCATGGAACAAATTTCCCAAAGTTTCCCCAATGTCAGAGCTGTGATGATGCTGTAGCGTGTTACGAAACTCATACTAGCAACGGATCTGGTGTTGGAGATTATGCCGATTATTTTCTTTCCCTCTCTAGGATCATCTGTGAAGACAGCAGCACCGGAGTTGCCGACAGAAGAGTCGCATCGCGTCAGAAGAAGGTGTCCGTCCATCAGCGCCATGTTGGAACGAGAGTGACATTGCGAGCTCCAAAGCATTGGATCACTTAGTGACTTAAATGCCAGAAAAAATGTATCTTCATTCAAAATGTTGCCTTTAGGTACTGACAAAGGCATGAAACGTTTTCTTCCTGCTACAGCAAAACTGAGTTTTACGATGGCGTAGTCATAAGAAGATCTTGCCGTCTCCCCCATAAAACTCTGGCGTGACCACTGCTTGGGAATGCTGATTTTCTCAATGTAATACACACGGAAACCCATAGTATCCGGTACCTCAATTTTCAGCATCTGAAGATTGTTCCTGAATTCCTCTCCGTTGTGAACACAATGAGCAGCAGTTAGGACATGAAGCGGCGTCAGTAGCGTCCCAGTACATCCACTAGACAAGCGCACGACGTTAGAGTAAGGATATCGCCTCATACTTGAAGCAAACACAGGGGAGCGGTCGTCCTCGCCATAAACAAACACTTTCTTGTTGTACCTGAAAGGTCCTCGTTTACCAATTTTTGGCAGATGAACACTAAGGAACGAAGATGAGAGGTCTGTAGGCATTGACCCTCCCTTATCTCCAAATGGGCGAAGTTTCGCAGATAAACTGGGTGTAAAGTCTAGGATTGTTCGCAGAGTAGCTGGTTTTGGAGTCACATGTTGTTTTCCCAGCGTTAAATGTTTGACAGATGACTGGAAATCGTGTTTGTGTTTACGCTTCTTTGTTCTCAGGTCATTATTGAACCAATCACGAGAAAAACGAGGCTTATGTAAGGCGATCTGTTTGGAGGATGGTCGGTAGTGACCAGAACAGAGGATGTTGTTATGAAACTTGCATAATCTACTAAACATATCACGCAGGAGACTATCTTTTTGAAGTGAAGAGGGACGGATGGAGGATAGAGATGGAAGCTCGGTTGTGTTGGAAACAGTAAGCTTGGTAACATCAAGGGAGATAATCACACTGCAGATGCATGGTATTTGGGCAGCCGCTAAGAAGAAAACAGCATATGTAATGACGGGTGACCTTGCAATGCATTGGGGGTAGTTCCTCATGTTGACGACGACGACGACGCAGTGAGCGAGTTGATATTGTTTGGACACGGTTGTCGTTCTTGTCACCGTTTAATCTGAAAAATAATTTCAAGTTTTTATTTTTACAGAACAGTGACTACTTCTAAAGAAGCTAAATCCATTTTATATTATCATATTCACAGATAACAGTTTACAATATTGATAATATCAAACAACTGTGAGGATACAAAACATACGATAAGTGCAAGACACCCCATCTTCATGGTTACACGCTCTTCCTTGTCTCACCACACATATAGTAACCCTGTTAAAGTGGCGGGGCTTATGTGAAGAAATCCAAGGGTAAAATCTTATATGAGTGGAGTGAGTGAGTTATTATTTAACGTCACATGGGCAATATTTCAGCCATATCGTGACGATTATATGAGTGGAAATCTCGTGTTAGTTTTAGGACTGGTTTTGAACACGGGAGATAGTTCTATTGATATTCAATTTCGTTATTACAATGATTGCGACGTTTCTTTGAAGATAGTAGCACAATTATCTGGCAAGTTATCACTTGCTACACAACAGCATCAGTAGATCGTGGACTGGTTTGTTTGAATATCAGAATGTTAGCCTTTTCCACTTGAAGTAATATCTCACGGGAAATCGGAAACGTCACAAGTTTTTTTCGAGTGATTATTTAGGTAAAGTTAAGCTTTATTTGCATGTTTGTAAATCAATAGCTATATGACATTAGGCTAGGTAGATAATGGGGAGCGATAATGGTACAGCTAAAAGGCTTTCATAATTGAGAAAACATTTAAAAAAACAGATTTATCGTGGAATGTAGTAGTTGACTGTGCTCGGGTGGTATGTTCAGAAATGAACATTGTATTGTTTGACGCCGCACTCAGCAATATGGTGTATGTAAATAATCGAGTCTGGACAAGACAATCCAATGACTGACATTGAGAGCATCGATCCACGCCATTGGGACACGATGACATGCATCAACTAAGTCAGCGGGCCTGACCACCTGCATGCGGCATTAAACAACAGACAAATCAAACCAAAAAAAGTCAAACAAAACATACTTAACATCATTCATGTCAAACTACCAACTCTTCAAACAAAACATACTCAACTCCACATCATGTCAAACAACCAATCTTGTCAAACAACACATACTCACCTATATATCATGTCAAACTACCAACCCTGTCACACAACACATAGTCAACTCCACATCAAGTCAAACTACCAACCCTGTCATACAACACATACTCAACTCAACATCAAGTCAAACTACCAATCCTGTCACACAACACATACTCAACTCCACACCATGTCAAACTACCAACCCTGTCAAACAAAACATACTCAACTCCATATCATGTCAAACTACCAACCCTGTCAAACAACTCATACTCAACTCCACATCATGTCAAACTGCCAACCCTGTCACACAACACGTACTCAACTCCATATCATGTCAAACTACCAACCCTGTCAAACAAAACATACTCAACTCCATATCATGTCAAACTACCAACCCTGTCACACAACACATACTCAACTCAACATCAAGTCAAACTACCAACCCTGTCAAACAAAATATACTTAACTCAACATCATGTCAAACTACCAACCCTGTCAAACAAAACATACTCAATTCCACATCATGTCAAACTACCAACCCTGTCAAACAAAACATACTCAACTCCATATCATGTCAAACTACCAACCCTGTCAAACAACACATACTCAACTCAACATCGTGACAAACTACCAACCCTGTCAAACAAAACATACTCAACTCCATATCATGTCAAACTGCCAACCCTGTCACACAACACATACCCAACTCAACATCATGTCAAACTGCCAACCCTGTCAAACAAAACATACTCAACTCCATATCATGTCAAACTGCCAACCCTGTCAAACAAAATATACTCAACTCCATATCATGTCAAACTACCTACTCTTGAAACAAAACATACTCAACTCCACAGCATGTCAAACTACCAACCCTGTTAAACAAAACATACTCAACTCAACATCAAGTCAAACTACCAACCCAGTCACACAACACATACTGAACTCAACATCAAGTCAAACTGCCAACCCTGTCAAACAACACATACTCAACTCAACATCGTGACAAACTACCAACCCTGTCACACAACACATACCCAACTCAACATCATGTCAAACTGCCAACCCTGTCAAACAAAACATACTCAACTCCATATCATGTCAAACTGCCAACCCTGTCAAACAAAATATACTCAACTCCATATCATGTCAAACTACCTACTCTTGAAACAAAACATACTCAACTCCACAGCATGTCAAACTACCAACCCTGTTAAACAAAACATACTCAACTCAACATCAAGTCAAACTACCAACCCAGTCACACAACACATACTGAACTCAACATCAAGTCAAACTGCCAACCCTGTCAAACAACACATACTCAACTCAACATCGTGACAAACTACCAACCCTGTCAAACAAAACATACTCAACTCCTCATCATGTCAAACTGCCAATCCTGTCAAACAAAACATACTCAACTCCATATCATGTCAAACTACCAACCCTGTCAAACAAAACATACTCAACTCCATATCATGTCAAACTGCCAACCCTGTCAAACAAAATATACTCAACTCCATATCATGTCAAACTACCTACTCTTGAAACACAACATACTCAACTCCACAGCATGTCAAACTACCAACCCTGTTAAACAAAACATACTCAACTCCATATCATGTCAAACTACCAACCCAGTCAAACAACTCATATTCAACTCCATATCATGTCAAACTACCAACCCTGTCACACAACACATACTCAACTCCATATCATGTCAAACTACCAACCCTGTCACACAACACATACTCAACTCCATATCATGTCAAACTACCAACCCTGTCACACAACACATACTCAACTCCATATCATGTCAAACTACCAACCCTGTCAAACAAAACATACTCAATTCCACATCATGTCAAACTACCAACCCTGTCAAACAAAACATACTCAACTCCATATCATGTCAAACTGCCAACCCTGTTAAACAACACATAACCAACTCAACATCATGTCAAACTGCCAACCCTGTCAAACAAAACATACTCAACTCCACATCATGTCAAACTACCAACCCTGTCAAACAACTCATACTCAACTCCATATCATGTCAAACTTCCTACTCTTGAAACACAACCTACTCAACTCCACATCATGTCAAACTACCAACCCTGTCAAACAGAACATACTCAACTCCATATCATGTCAAACTACCAACCCTGTCAAACAAAACATACTCAACTCCATATCATGTCAAACTACCAACCCTGTCACACAACACATACTCAACTCAACATCAAGTCAAACTACCAACCCTGTCAAACAAAATATACTTAACTCAACATCATGTCAAACTACCAACCCTGTCAAACAAAACATACTCAATTCCACATCATGTCAAACTACCAACCCTGTCAAACAAAACATACTCAACTCCATATCATGTCAAACTACCAACCCTGTCAAACAACACATACTCAACTCAACATCATGACAAACTACCAACCCTGTCAAACAAAACATACTCAACTCCATATCATGTCAAACTGCCAACCCTGTCACACAACACATACCCAACTCAACATCATGTCAAACTGCCAACCCTGTCAAACAAAACATACTCAACTCCATATCATGTCAAACTGCCAACCCTGTCAAACAAAATATACTCAACTCCATATCATGTCAAACTACCTACTCTTGAAACAAAACATACTCAACTCCACAGCATGTCAAACTACCAACCCTGTTAAACAAAACATACTCAACTCAACATCAAGTCAAACTACCAACCCAGTCACACAACACATACTGAACTCAACATCAAGTCAAACTGCCAACCCTGTCAAACAACACATACTCAACTCAACATCGTGACAAACTACCAACCCTGTCACACAACACATACCCAACTCAACATCATGTCAAACTGCCAACCCTGTCAAACAAAACATACTCAACTCCATATCATGTCAAACTGCCAACCCTGTCAAACAAAATATACTCAACTCCATATCATGTCAAACTACCTACTCTTGAAACAAAACATACTCAACTCCACAGCATGTCAAACTACCAACCCTGTTAAACAACACATACTGAACTCAACATCAAGTCAAACTGCCAACCCTGTCAAACAACACATACTCAACTCAACATCGTGACAAACTACCAACCCTGTCAAACAAAACATACTCAACTCCTCATCATGTCAAACTGCCAATCCTGTCAAACAAAACATACTCAACTCCATATCATGTCAAACTACCAACCCTGTCAAACAAAACATACTCAACTCCATATCATGTCAAACTGCCAACCCTGTCAAACAAAATATACTCAACTCCATATCATGTCAAACTACCTACTCTTGAAACACAACATACTCAACTCCACAGCATGTCAAACTACCAACCCTGTTAAACAAAACATACTCAACTCCATATCATGTCAAACTACCAACCCAGTCAAACAACTCATATTCAACTCCATATCATGTCAAACTACCAACCCTGTCACACAACACATACTCAACTCCATATCATGTCAAACTACCAACCCTGTCACACAACACATACTCAACTCCATATCATGTCAAACTACCAACCCTGTCACACAACACATACTCAACTCCATATCATGTCAAACTACCAACCCTGTCAAACAAAACATACTCAATTCCACATCATGTCAAACTACCAACCCTGTCAAACAAAACATACTCAACTCCATATCATGTCAAACTGCCAACCCTGTTAAACAACACATAACCAACTCAACATCATGTCAAACTGCCAACCCTGTCAAACAAAACATACTCAACTCCACATCATGTCAAACTACCAACCCTGTCAAACAACTCATACTCAACTCCATATCATGTCAAACTTCCTACTCTTGAAACACAACCTACTCAACTCCACATCATGTCAAACTACCAACCCTGTCAAACAGAACATACTCAACTCCATATCATGTCAAACTACCAACCCTGTCAAACAAA